AGACTTCCAGTTTGAATTCTAGTCACCATAGGATGACGTTTAGATGGCATAGGTGGGATGGAAACTGGAACAAAAAGAGTATCAGCGGGAGAAGCATCAGGAGGAGAACTGGAATTAGAGGTAGAGGTATCTGTAGAAGGATTTGGCTGAATTGGAGTTGGTAGCATAGTGGAGTGAATATGAGATTATTTATTTGGTGGAGAAACTATAGAGGTGTTTGGAACAAGACTTAAAGGAAAGGTTACAAAAGTGAGTGTTGGAGATGATTATGAGGGTAGATTTGAATAAATGGAAGAGGCAAATTTTTGTGGGGTGGAGGGGTGTAACCAGGGATAGCAGAGACACCCCAATATTTTTAAATAAGAGTAAGATGAAATTTGTTTGTAAAGACGATGATAAGGAGATGTAGAAGCCACAGTAGCGGAAGGAAGACGATTAATCAAGTATGTAGCTGTAAGAACAGCTTCAGTCCAAAAAACAATTGGAAGGCAAGCATTAAGAAGAAGTGTTCGTGCAGTCTCTATAATGTGACGATGCTTGCGTTCAACTAAGCCATTTTGTTCAGGGGTATAGGGGCAGCTATATTGATCCAAAATACCATTGGAAGTGAGAAATTTTTGAAATTGCAAGCTTGAACACTCACCACCGCCATCGGAACGAAACATTGTAATTTTAGAGGAAAATTGTTTCTCAACCATAGCATGAAACATTGCAAATTTGGAAAACGTTTCAGCTTTTGTAATCATCGGATAAACCCAAACGAAACTAGAGAATTCATCCAAAAATAAGACATAATAACGATAACCATTTTATGATGAAATTGGGGAGGGACCCCATACATCGGAAACAACTAGTTGAAAAGGAGAAGTACATGAAGACTTAGAACTAACAAAAGGTAATCTATGACTTTTGGATATTTGACACGAATGACAAACATCTTTTACATTAGAAATATGTAATTGGGGAAGTAATGCATATAACGTAGAAACAACTGCATGATGAGGGTGACCCAAACGAGCATGCTAGAGCTGAGATCAAGCTGTTGTAGTGAGGAGCATCTTGGAGGAGAGGGAGTTTGGTGGCGAAGAGGATGAAGATGGAACAACAATGGAGTACAATCCTTCATGGCAAGGACCCGAAAGAAGCACTTGATTTGTTCTCCGATCCTTAATATGATAGCCATGTGGAGTAAAAGAAATTGTGCAGCCATTATCAGTAAGTAAACGATGAACAGAAAGAAGGTTGTGCGAAACTTGAGGAATATGAAGAAGAGGAGAAAGGGCAAGCTTACAAGTAGGAGTAGGCAAAATGCCTTGACCCGTATGAGAAATTGGGAGAGACTGCCATTGCCAACTTGAATGTGGTGGGAGCCATGATACGGTTGCGAGGTTAGGAGCTGATTAGCATCATTAGTAAGGTGAGAAGTAGCTCCAGTGTCTAAAATCCAGTCAGGAGAAACTGAAGACGAATCTGAATTTTCAGCCAACAGAGCAGTAGCTAGAAGTATTCCCACTGTAGTTTAAATTCGTCCGATGCCAACATTTAACTGCGGAATGCCCAGGTTTACGGCAAATTTGACACTCAATGCGTGTAGACGGTGATCTACCACCACCACGGGACGAAGAAAATCAACGACCCCTTGAGGAACGAAACGTCGATGTAGTGCCGCCTCGTCCTCGAGTTGCCGCCAGAGCCACCGGAGCATCAGAAATGTGCACAGACTGAAGATCCTTAGTTGCTTCAGTCTCTAAATTTGTTTCTTCACTGCACAGAAGTGAGTAGAAGTCATCAAGGTTAAGAGGTTGTAAACTTGTTCGGATGGCAGTCTTAAATCCTTGATAGGAAGCGTGCAATCCGTTAAGAGTATAGAGAATCACGTCCTATGAATCTATGGAGCATCCAGCTGCAGTGAGAATATCGATTTTCATTTTAATATCAGACAAATACTGCTGCATAGATTTATTTCCCATGGAAACGTGATGAAGATCATTTTTGATCTGTAAGATACGGGAACGATTGGTGGACTGAAGGCGTTTGGCAATCGTTTCCCAAATCTCTGAATATGAATCCAAATTCAAGATGTAGGGCAGCAATGGCGCGGAGACGGTGGAGAAGAGAGCGGCGGCAAGATTCTGATCAATGAGCATCCAAGTAGAACAAGGGATTGGGAAGGATTTCACCAGTAGCCGAGGTTAGTTGCCGAGGAGGACGACAAATGGATCCATCGAGATAGCCCTCAAAGCCATTGGCTATGAATATCTTGAGAACTTGTGATCTCCACGTCAAATGATTTTCAGAAGCTAATTGCACAGTAATCACATTCTTAATGCTTGACATTAAGAACTTTAGTTGAGGAGGTATAGAAGCCGTGCCGAGCAGTTGAGAGACTTATGTGGTACTGTTATAGGTAGAGGAATCACCAGATTCCATGTCTATGAATGGAAGACGTGAAATAACGAAAAAAAAACCGTAAGGCCTAGAAAGGCTCTGATACCATGAAAAAGGCTTAAAGCTCACCTACACAACAGAGAAAGTAAAAACATAGCAAAGACAAAGACGAAGGGAATTCCGTGCTTTTCCATTCCTCTCTTGAACAATGCCATATATCCCTATATATATATATATATATATA